AGGTAACGAAGTACCCTTTTAACGCGTCCCGATTAAAATTTGATCTGTCCTTTGTATTGCTAATAGGACATTACTCCGGGAGTTAAGTCGCGTTAAAGCGCCGCCATCGGCGGGCGGCATCTATAAATGATGTAATTTAGACCCGCTCATGCGGAGGGCCCTGTAAAGAGCGGACATTAATACGGGGAAAGACAGGGCAAACCGCCGGAAACAATGAGAACGTTTCCCTACGTGATGGCCCGAAAAGCTCGGATTCTGCGTCTCCACGCTCAAGTAAAGGATTCCCATTGTCGAGTCATCAGTTCCCCTCGTCCTCGCGACAGGGGTTTACTTGTAAATTATTGACGTTCCTCCGGTCTTGAGGAGTAATCCAACGTGGTTTTAAGTTCCTTCAATCGAAAAGGATGATTTACTTCCGACGTTACGCGGTTACGCGTGAAAATATCAGCTCAATTACTCTTTATGGACGTATTCACATTGGAAATGATATCATGAACTTTTCTCCGTAGATCGATTTCTTAAGAACGCCCAAAGTTTGAAATTCACAGGGGTGTCAGAGAAGTTCATTGTCCAAGCCCTGATCGAAACCGATTGACTTGGAAAAAGAAGTACCGGGGTCCTCTAAACGAGACAAATTATCAGGACATTTGCGGATCGTTATCACATTGCAAATGATACGGACTTTTCTCCGTAGATCGATTGGTTCTTAAGACCGGGCAAAGTTTGAAGTTCGCAGGGGTGTCAGTGAAGTTCAGTAACCCCTGATCGAAGCCCGAGACTACGTGGATACGACATCTACATAGGTATACAGCTCCCGGTGCGGATCACTCCGGCTGCATCCGCGCGTCAAGGCGAGGCTTTGTGGGGCGCGCCGGAGCGGGCGACCGGAGATTACAATGGCATCTCCTCCAGATTAGCATATGAATTACGAGCCCCCTGCATCGGCGAACCCCCCGCCGCCCCTCGCCCCTCCGAGCTGTCCGAGACCCGGTCCGAAGCGGTCCGAGCAGACTACCAAGGACCACGAGGACTCGCCAGGTGGAGAACATTGGACGAGACGGCGTCTGGACCATCTTGGCCCGAGTGGGACACCAAGTCGGTCAAGTCGAATTCGCCTCGCTCGAATAGGTTCACGATGGCTCGAACTGGTCCGAGACGACGCAAAGTGGTCCTAGCCCATCCAAGATGGTCGCAGGAGTTGGTCCATTGAGGCAGACTTCGATCCTCGTTCGGCAAATCGATCCTACTAGTGGGATGATACGACTGAGGCGTTCGGAAAAATCGATTTCAATCCATGGCTCGAATTGGTCCACGATGGTTAGAGCTGGTCCGAGCCTATCCAAGAATTTCGTCCAGCAGTGGCTAAGACTTCGATCCTTGTCCGGCCAATCGTTATCATAGTTGGGATGATAGGTCCGAGACGACGCAAAGTGGTCCTAGCCCATCCAAGATGGTCGCAGGAGTTGGTCCATTGAGGCAGACTTCGATCCTCGTTTGGAAAATCGATCCTATGGGTGGGATGATACGGCCGAGACGTTCGGAAAAATCGATTTCAATCCATGGCTGGAATTGGTCCACGATGGTTAGAGCTGGTCCGAGCCTATCCAAGAGTTTCGTCCAGCAGTGGCTAAGACTTCGATCCTTGTCCGGCCAATCGTTATCACAGTTGGGATGATAGAGCCGAGGCTATCGGAAAAATCGATTCCAATCTATGGGACTAGTTTCGATGGATTTGGGATCGGTTCTGTCGATTTGGAGTCCGTTTTGTCCTAGAGGGGGGCGCGATTTTGCAGAAATTTTGTGGAAACACATCTCTGGCTTCATACCGGCGGTTTATATATGGAGGAAGCGATGGCGATACGGATATCGGTTGTACGTACCCATTTCTATATTCGTTCGTCGGTCGGTGTATTTTTTGCCCGGTGCCTTTTACCTGCGTGGACAGGAGTCAGCGTAAAAGTACACGAAAATCGATCCCCTGCGTATCCCCCTTTCGTTTGACAAGCCGGGCTCGCCTCTCTTTGAAAGTGTCCCCTTTGATTGATCGAGGATGGATGCACACGATCGGAGGGTTGTAACGAAATCCCCTCGCTCAAATTAATGCCAGTCTTTCGGAATAGACTCGGGCGCATTACACTCAAAGCCGAAACACCGGACACCTACCAAAATCGTTTCCATCTCCGATCTCGACATCGCATTTCCAATACCAAATACAATACCACCGGAAACTCGAATCGCCCAAAAAGGACACTTTAATCTGCATCGAGTTAACCCCAGAAAATGAATTTAACCGAAGAAAAGAATTTCACATTAACTATTCCCTTTTCGGTTCCCCTCCCCGTTTAAAAGTCGTACCATTGTGACCCTGCTAAAAAGAAAAAAAAAAAGAAAGCCTCAGGTGTATCTCTATGGAATGGCAAAAAATCAATTTATGTCCCTGATCTTTGCTTATCAATTTCTTCTAAAAATATTATTAATTTTTCTTGTGTTTCAGTTTCATGACCAATGGTCTCCTCAAAATCCAGCGGAAGTGTACTTGTGCCTTCGTCAGCGAATTTCGGGGATTCCATTCATGGGGTGCGGAGAAGCCGCGTCGGTGTCTCCGCAGGCCGCGTCATTATCTCCGAAGAAAAGTTGGAAAATGCCAACCCCGAGGCGGATAGGACGGGAATTAATCGCCCGCGCGTTCCTGGGGCGATCGGGAAAATAGCAACGTCGGGGACGGTAATGTCCCCAGCTAATGACCCAAATCGAAAGCTCGGTCTTTCGGCCGAGGTAAAAAGCTCGGGAAAGCCGAGGACGGGGTTACGTGTACGGATGCTCGATAATGGATGGATCGCGCCCCGTCCGGATAACGCTGATACCTCGGCGACCTAACCTAAAAGATTCCCTAGGAGTAATCTCGCGCTCCTGGTGACGACCTGGCGACATCGGTACCATGGAGGCCTAACCTAGAAATAGCCATCGGTGACTGATTACGCAAAATCGCCGATACTCGGGGTCCGAAGCTAAAAATGCCCCAATTTAGGTATTCCGACCTAGAAATCCCCAAACTAGGCGTCCCAACCTAAAGAGTACTCCAACCTAGAAGTTCGATCTTCCAACCCCGTAAAAGAGGCATAGGTGCCCCTGGAATACGGTGTACCTAACTCGCGTTAACTAGGGATCGTTATCACCTCCACCTGGTGTCTTCTCTGCCGATTTCCCTGGTCTTATCAGGGGGTCCATCGCGCTCTCCTTGCCCGACCACTTCCCGAAACCCTTCGATTCCTCCGCTCCCCGGGGAAATATCGAGCGGCTCCTTTGTGCGACGAAAGTAATTGGTGGCCCCCCTATCCGATATTACATCGGGCTGAATAATAATCGGTTGCGTGCCGCGCGAGATACGCTCGGCGACTCCGCGGTCCCTACTTTGGGCTCGCGTGTCCTGCCCCGAGAAGAAAAAACCCCCACAGCCCGTCAATTTTTTATGCTCTCGTGATTTCGACTCCTCCAATTCCCCCGCGTTTATCATACTGTCACGGCTTATTAAAAAGGAAAAAAAAAGAAAAAGAGGGGGAAATGCCTGGTGATCGAGCCTGGCTTTCCGCCGATTCGTGACGACCCATTGTTTTACATGTTAAAAAAAAAATGGTACATATATTTTTAACCTGGCCATTAACGATTTGATAGTATTTTCGGGCAATGATTATATCCTGGGTCCCTTGAAAACTTTTGCATTGCGGTTGATACGTCATTTGTTAATTAATTCACATAGGTATTACTCCGGCTGAAGAGGTCGGGAGGTGACGTTAGAGAAATATCTTCTTTTCTTTTGTTTCCCGCTCTTTTATGGAATTTTTAATGGAACACTGCGGTGGCAATTTGAGCCTGGTAGGTTTCTTTATAGCTGTCGTGGCGATGTAAGAGTCGATCGAGTATTTTGAATTCATTTCTGGAGTCTCCGCTTGACTGTCGTGCCTCGTATCAAATCTTATACACCGTATTCCCTCTTTTCCTTTCTTTAGCCATTTTGATGTGTCGCAAAATTTTTTCACCGAGGTTATGCAACGAGGGAGAAGCGGTTTTGCGCACTACGACAGCATGGCGAGATGAGATGATCTCGAAGAAGAAACTTTCCCAAGGAAATGCGACGCGCCGTTCGGATGAATCAAGAGATGAAGGGATGAATGCCAGCTCGGAGAAAAGCTCTGATATGTCTCGACGTACTTGTACTCGTTCTATTTTCTGATAACGGATGCTCGGAGGCCAACTTCCAGTTTCGCTCGAAACTGGCCAATTTCCCGGCCGACTTTTCAAACTAATTCCATATCCATGCCTGGCAGTACCACGATAGAAAGGTATCACTTCAAAAAATAAATAACAATAGTAAGTGACTACCAGACAACAAAATCTGAAAAGTACTTCAATGATCCCTCAAGGCACTTCGTTCGGTCTCGGAGCATCCGCGTACTTTTACGTTCTGTTACCCTATTCGTTGGTAAATTGTCTGGACAATTTCTCTTTTTCTTTTTTTTTTTGTTTCATACGTTTCTCTTTTTTCTTAACATTTTACGGCATCCGTTCTTCCTTTCAGTCGGTGGAGAACAAGATGGCGCGGCGAGAGAAAATCGAAAATAAATATCGAGGGAGGTAATATTGCGGTCGTTAGGTGGATCGGCCTGTGAAAAGAGTCGCGGGGGATGTTGGCTCGATTCCAAAGGGGTGAATCTCGATCGCGGTCAGGAATGAAAGGCCGAGAGAATCTCCGAATAAGAAGCGATCGCGTGGCGCATAAATAACCACTTTCCCGACGCAGCGCGATCGCCATTTCTTTTTTCCTTTTTTTTTTTCTCTTTCGTCGCCTGAAAGAAGAACCAGGTTAAATCGCCGGCTCGCGGACGCAGCGGTGAAAAGTTGCCGACCTCGTGGAAAAACCGACCGACATCGAGCCGAGATATTAACGATTCATGGCTGTGATTACGCTAATCAGCGGTACATAGACTTTTGCGTTTCCTTACCTCCGCGGTTTTCACTGTCCGCCGGCTTCACTTGGATAGGACGGTTCATCTGAAACAGAAACGGAGACATCGATTAGCCCCGAGAAACCCATCAAGATAGGCCAAACAAATCTCGAGAGATATTCATTAAACGGAGATAATTACACGCACTTGTTTGAGACAATCGAAACATTCGGTGCAATCAAAGGGAATATGAAATCGTTCACTGATACGTAATAATGCGCGGCATTTAATAGTTACTTCAATAAATTCTCAATAAACTGCGAGCAGAAAAATGTTTACTTTACAAAAGTTACCTTTACAACGTCCCGTCTCATAGATCTACCTGTATTAATCAAGAGAAATCCGCGCTCGTTACCCGCGTTTAATTCAAGAATATTCCTTTTCTTTTTCGAAAGTGCACCGCATCGTGCACGTATGAACATTTTTATGTTAACTTCTCAGATGAATTGTTAAACGTTCACCGAGCAAAACCAATGTTAGTACCGCAGTACTACATGTACGAGTACCGTACATAGCATTATCTTGGCAGAGAGGGTCTGTCGCGCGATGAAGATAGGGGAGAAAATCGGGCGAAAATATTCCATTGATGGGAAACGTCCAATTCCGGGGTGAATTGAATTAATCCCATTTCCACCGTGAATCATCCGGTTCGTTAGTCGAGGAAGTGCCGATCAGCTGCACCCCGTCCCGAGTCCGTTCCCGAAAACAAAGTTAAAGCACCCCGTCCAGTCCGATCCGCCGACAAGAGTCCGTTGCAAGAGCCATTAAATGTGTCATTTTCGAGAGGGCCCGGGGGGTATATCGACGGGGAGGCTGGTCGGGTCAGGAGATATCGTCGAGTCGTCCTCCTCGTCCTGGTTGTCCAGGACGTCCGGCCCTCGTCACTCGGATCTGGCTCAAACAGCGTTTCGCGCCCAAGAGGTCTCTGGCGCTGACAGGGCTGACTGCCCTCTCGGAGAGGGAGTTCTCCCCGATCCACCCCAGTTTTCCCCTAGAGTCCCAGAACTCCTTTCCCAGGTCGTCGGAACTTCCCCCAGCATCCCTGGTCCAGTTGATGAACAACGAGGGAAATCGGTCTTACGGTTTCGCTCTTTCCTTGCATTTTCGAGTCTCGGTCTCGTCCTTGCGAACATGTCCAGGTTTAGGTCTGGATCTTAACCGCACTATTTACGAGACCAGGATTCGTCCCAATACCTCACCATTAAAACGCGTCTTAATAAATCTTTCTTTAAGGACGTACCGAATCATTTGAAACTTCATCACGAGATTACCCTACGGGGTGAAATTTCAGTTTTTCGAACGAAAATTCTATTCATCTCGAACAAGGATAAAAAAAAGACATTTCTCTTTTCCGAAAGATGAAATTTCCCCAGCATCGCGTTCTTCCTTAGGGCCTTCACAATCACGTGCTGAAGTCTCAGATAATTTGGAGAAAAGCTTAATAAATATTTTGACGTTTCGTATGTATAGAATGGCCCTTTCGTATCACCTTAAAGATTGCTGATGAGGGGCGCTTTTTAAGATAATTTGGAGAAAAGCTTTATAAATGTTTTGACGTTTCGTATGTATAGAATGGCCCTTTCGTATCACCTTAAAGATTGCGGATGAGGGGCGCTTTTTAACCCCAAAAGTGGAGTATGAACTTAAATCCGTAGAACCAGGACCGATTTTTCTCATCAATGCTTTGGGCCCTGGACCCTTCTCGCCCCCGGCGATTCGCGACGAGACGGAACGAACAAATAACATTATTTATTTCCGTCGGCCCGGTCGCGCTCCAGTTCGTTTTCCTCTCGACAGGAGTCGCGCAGAGGGGCGGCCAGGATGCATGATTCATGACGCAGGGGACGCGTCCCGGTCTTCGATCTCCTCAGGCCGTCCCGCCGGTCGGAGTGCTTCTTCCCAGCCAATTTTCCTCCCAGCGTGGCCTCGTGCCCGCTCCCAGAAGAGACCGCAGGGTCGCCGTAGGGGTCCGTCCGATGGCGGCACCCTGGACCGCTGCCCCAGGGTTAAAAAAGTACTCGGCCCGAATCGAGGGGACGCCTTAGGCGGGAAAAGAACCCGCTCGATCCTGGTATCGATAAGCCACGCTCGTTTCTTCGAGGCTTAAAACCCAAAACGACACGGAAATAAATTGATCGACATGAGGGGAAGATTAGTCGGGAATTCATTCCGGCAACTACATCCGGCCATCTGCCTCCAAATGCGGTGGCGATGTATATTAAGATATGGCTTACAAAATGAAACACATGATAGATTCACGATATTTTTTCCGGAAGTCTTTTTGCGACGCGGTACTCTAGGTTTTTTCTTACATAGTTTCTAAAGATGTCTTATAGATTCACGTATTGTAAGTTCAGTGCACAAGTGTTATTAATCTTTCATACGGTCGCGAGACAATGTCGTGACATTACAAAATTTCTCATTATTCGTCGTTTTGCCTAAACTTTCTTTTCATCGAGAAGAGCCTCCGCCTCGGGACGAAGAAATGAATCTAGGTACTTTTCCCTTGATAAAGTCGACAAGGCGTTTCCGGGAGGTAGGCGAATTCGCGAAAATGGAGCCGACGAACGGCCTTAATGCGCAGGCCTATGGTGGTGGAGGTTGGGAGTCGCGTTGGGGGAAATATGGGCGCCAATGGAGAACGGAAGTGGTAAAGATGTCTTATAGATTTACGTATTGTAAGTTCAGTGCACAAGTGTCATTAATCTTCCTGGACAATTTCATACGGTCGCGAGACAATATTGTGACATTACAAAATTTGCCATTAGTCGTTTTGCCTGAACTTTCTTATTCATCGAGAAGAGCCTCCGCCTCGGGAAGAAGAAATGAATCTAGTTACTTTTCCCTTGATAAAGTCGACGAGGCGTTTCCGGGAGGTAGGCGGACTCGCGAAAATGGAGCCGACGGACGGCCTTAATGCGCAGGCCTATGGTGGTGGAGGTTGGGAGTCGCGTTGGGGGAAATATGGGCGCCAATGGAGAACGGAAGTGGCCTCCCGGCGCAGGAGGACGAGGAGGGCTGGAACGACGGGGTCGCTTTAAGCACTGTCCACCGGCCAGGAAATTAAACTTTGCGCCGGGTACCAGCCATTAGGCGTTTGTTGTTACCCCGTCGTCAGGGGAACCTCGCCGTCCGTAGATACCGGAACTGAGATACGCTGACCCGAGGGTCTCTCGCGAGAACTTTAACGCGCGGCGACCGACATTACCGGGGACCGACGCCTAAGAGGAACCCCGCCGATTCCTCGGCGACCCCATCGGGTCATCTTCCGACCCCCTGGAAATTCTTCCGGAAGTTCTTCCAAGCTCCGAGGGTGAAAATATCCCGATAATCGAAGAAACGAAGAGGGCCAAAAGGCCTGAATCCTCCCAGAAGACGAGATTCCACTCATCGATCACCTCCCACCATCAGCTGACACCCAACATCATAAACCTAAATTTAAAATTCTCAATTCCAAATTCTTAAATTATAAATAAATGCTACAATTAAACTGTACTTTATGGTACTCGTGATAAATTTCTATTTGTTATGGGCGAGGTTTGTGGGTGGTTAGGGGGTTGGCTTGGGTGACGGTGATCTGGGGTCGGGGTTTTAAATCGAAAATTATGTCGCGTGGTCTTAATATAAAAAAAAAAAAATAGATGTATATGCACGTGTACTCTAATGGTTATTGCGATCGAGCAGTTACCGTCCCTACCCCCTAGCGACTCGTGTCATCAGCCTCGTGCACTTAGAAAATCGATCCCCTTGAGAGACACCACTCAAGATGGATGGTAATAAGTAAATGTGTTTGCCGAGCCCCGAGCGCATATTCCGAGCAATTAATTAAGCTCGATTATCTATGTACACTGCGGGAAAGCGCACCGCCGAGGGGTAGATGCGAAACGATAGCCGTGCTCGAGAATATGCAAGTTCTAACGACGTTTCTTCGTAATTGGGACCCCTGAAGACCTTATCGTATAGACGAAATAAGACCCTTATCGTATCCACGAGTCCGGCCTCATTTTTCATTGAACCCTTTCAAGCCGCTTGATTTTTCAAATCGCCATTATCAAGAAACTTAAATTACCCCCGTAATCTCCTCCGGCAGCCAAATCCCTCATAATTCATCCCTAATTTCCCCTGAGCCTAGAATCCAACGGAAACCATTATTCCGATTAAACATTTGGATTAGTTTTCTCGATGGTCAATATCAATTATATTTATCCCCCTTAAGAAATATCGACATGGGGTTCTCTTTTATAATACCCCTAACAGGAACATCTTTTTCGCGATAAGATATCTCCCTACGTGGATCCTTTGAATAATGTGCTCGTGGTAAAACCATTTCCACCCTTTCAGATATCTTGATAGGGACGCTCGACCGACCTAATTGCCAAAGAACTTGGTAACTCGACCGATAACACAGTTATACAAATTGGCATTACCGAGTGCGCTCGTTAGCCGTCCTCCACTGACATTCGTTATCACTCCCATTAGTGGTGTCATTTTTGCAGTAACAGGGAGTCTCTGGCAAACGTGTCATCGAGGGATTGATACCCTCCGCGATAGTCGTCCGCTAATGACTCGGGCTTATCGGGCGTTTTATCAGCGGCGAATGAACAATTTCGAAAATGGGGGGGTACAAGGATCAAAATCCCTTATCATTACTAAAACACTGTCACCTCTATTATCCATCCCTATTTACCATTTTTCTAAACAATTAATTAATTAATTTCCCAGTCGAAAGAAGAAAATTAAAATGTCTCCTTTTCTTCCTTTGAACATACAAAAAAAAAATATATATATATTTTATTTTAAGCCTCTTTTGGAGCGTCTTCAGGGCTCGAAGTATTCGGATTATGGTTGTCGGCGAATTGAACGGTCGCTTCGGAAATTGAGTTAGTTGTTCCTGTCCGGCATTTGACCCCTCGCGATCGATGTATCGATTGGTGATAAGGGTCCCCATATGGTGGGCAATTCGCGTTATGATTTATACGAGGCCGGTCTTCACCGTCGACATATTCATCACTCGTCCCCGAGCCCGATGTGTGTCCGCGATTTCTG